ACTCTTATCTCTTTTGTATTCATTCTACAATATAAACACCATTTCTACTTTCTAAAGCGCTTCAATAAACATATTGCTATAGGAGAAAAAAACACTAAAAGATAATGTATGCAGCTGAATAATCTCGTCGATTTGAAACAAAAACAAAATTTGATTGACACTCGAATCGACGCACAAACTGCTCGTATTCAGGCCGAACAAACACACAAAATGGCTCTAGAAAATGAGAAACAGGGTAGAACACTTATGGTATTTACCATTGTGACAATTATTTTCGTGAGCCCCTTTCAACTGTCTGTCAACAATCCCTTGGCCACATATTGACATGCAACGTTTTCAGCTGCCTTTGTCTTTCATCGCCGCCTTCTTCGCTATTCCAGTTAAAGAGTTTGGAAGTGATAATTTAACGTTGGATTTTGTGTCAAAGATAACTTGTAAGTGCCATTGTTATTTAATCTTTAAATCGCAAAATTTTGTCACTCCCCTCTTTTCTTTTCCTTCTATTTGTCTACATACTATCATCTGGATGATCTATAGGCCCAAACTGATCAAGCTTGCATCTATTAGTCCCAGTATCTGCAGCCACATCGATTTTGTTCATTGTCATTGGATTTGCCGTTTCTGAATGGGAATGGATCAAAAGAATACTTGAGTCAAAAATCTCAAGGTGGTTAGGCAAAGTTTTGAAGCCCACTGATGGAAACCAGCGTGCTCCAAATTGGGATGAAATTAGCACGCAGGGGAAGCGCCGGTGGACATCCAAAAGTCCATCGAGCACGACCCAGAATGCAGATAATTCGATGGTTTGAATTGCATAGGGTTGAAAAAATATGGGCATGACCGACATATATGAGGCATACTTTCATGTGCGTATACCTCTGGGTTATCGCAGTCATGAACTCTACAGGATGCAGTAGATAAAAGTAAGGTGTTTTCAGAATACATTACTAGGTTGTAGATTGATTTCCAATTTCTTGCGGTATTTGAAGTGATCGATTTAATAAACCTGCGAGAAACAATTTATTGCTAACAAATGAAGACGATCATCAAAGACAGGATAAAAGCCAAATCATCATACTACATGCCTCTTGCTTCCCTCCGCATCTGCCACAGTGATGCAGGCTCAACGACCTGTACAGGCAATCTCAAGTGATAAATGGCATCTCCATGAGATCCAATAGCTTCCCGAATAAGCTCATTCCTCACATCAAGTCTGCCAGATGGAAATGTTGACGCAACGACCTGCCACGACTCAATTACCCGAGGGCTCATCTTCATATCCCATGTCCCACGCCATGTAATGGACGGATCGTCATTCCCATCCAGCCGGTAGATAAACGCACAAGCATGCTCTTTTCCGCCATTCCAAAGCACAAGTGTTCGCATCTTGGGCATTTTCCGCACGAGTTCTCCAGCCCGACAAAGCAAATCTTCGATCGCCTTGCGATTCTCGTCATCACTTTGCAGTAGCGGTGACGTGAGCGACAGAGTCTGTAGGTTTGGCCAGACCCAATCCGGCTCGCAGTTTTGAAACATTCGCTCGGCATCGACCATGAAAGAAACGGCAAGATGGTGCAGCTCTAGGCTTTTGGTGGCAAAGGCTTCGTCGTATCTGTCGTGGTGGCCCAGGTCTTGTCTTTGGCCGGCGAATGGCGGTAATGCGTCATACAACTCAGTTGACTCTTGAAACATGGCAATTCGTTGTACAGTTTTGGGGAGGTTAAGCTGAATGATCCAAGAGAGATCTAATCCTCAAAAGTTAGCAAGTGACAAACTAGGAGATTTTCACGACGGCTTGCCGTAGGTAGATTATGGATAACTTACATTCATCGTCGAGCCCCGTCCAACGGGCTTTCGAATACCACGGCTCATAAACGATATTCTCAAGACACGGCAGTGTTTGGAGCAGTTCGATCCAGCAAAAGGAGAGAAGGCGACGCCGGAGCTGGCGACGAATAACAAGCTGTGTGATTGCTTTCACTGTTGGCACCGAGGAGTCGATTTTAGATTCATCTAGCCTGATGGGATACAAAAGCTGATACATGGCTGAGCGTGAAGGAGTTTCAACTTGCGCACCGTGAAGCCAACCGTGGCGTGGATCGTGATGGTGGCAGTCAGCTTCGCGAAACCTTTCTGATTCCTCGCCATCATCAACACAGTCGGAAGAGAAGTGCAAGTTCCGGAACCAATGCTCGGAGTCGGTAGGGCAGACCACATTAAGCTCCAGCGTCAAACTGTTCTCCGTCTCCCAGTTGCTGAGGATCGAAAATATTCTCCGTATCGCCTTGGTCACAGTGGTTCCCATAGTCTTCAACTGTGAGTAGCGTTTGGTGCAGCATCGTGTGCTATATCTTCGCAGCTCAATGTCAAGCCAAATGTGGTGAATGAGATGCCTCTTCTGCGGTGGAACCATGGATTCAAACTCTCCAAGGCGAGATGACCGGATTTTAAGCTTTTTGTAGTTTTCCTTTTCGAACACCGGCTGCCATTCTTTGCAAACAGAGGCGAGAGAGGCCCAGCCAGGGGGTTTTTGGCGGGTGATTGACTCCAGGATGTTGAGACGAAGCTCACATGGCAGAGATGCCCATGAAGTAGTAGCGTTTTGAGATGCCATTTTATGGTTCAATGTTGTGGTGAGAGTGATAGAATGAAGTAGAAAACATATATATCGTAGGATTTTGGGGATATAGCTACCTATTTATACTACTGTACTTTATCCATATAAGTCGGTGTGATATGACTTCCCTGCATTTACTGATTTATAGTTCCAGCCGTCAAATTAAGTTCGCCATCTTTAAGACTCATTAGTCCACCTTTATCATTCTGTTTACGCGTACTCCTGTTCGGATTCAACTCTCATATAAATAACTCGTGGGTCAAAAGCGCCTCAAAGCTTAAGCCAATTTTCCGAAGCCTCTGGCTACAGTAGCACCTTGAGCAAAGTACCTATGCAGAGGTATAAAAACCCTAATTTTAGGAAGGGGGTTATCCAGCGCCCTCCAGCTTAAGCGTGGGCTGCTGCCAGTATTATGACTACTGCTGCTACTGCTGCTATTTGTAGTGTATGAACGGTATTTAGCAGTTATAGATGTATATATAGTCTGATATATGGAATGGCCGCCTTGTTGCGCTACAGCTGGTGTGTTCGATAATGGGAACAGGGTGCTGAACAACATCTCCCAAAATACAAGGCATATTTCAGCCTCGCAAAGGCCTTATAACCTTACATATGTAAGGCGTTATAGTTAGGAAAAATATAGTATCTGTACTGTTCACATACCGTATAAATTCTATTTTATTTTTATATTTCACTTTTGGAGAAATTAGGAGTTATTGCACCTCTGCACACTTTGCCCAAGGTGCCACTGCATCCGGCAAATACCAACATCAAAAAGGCTGACCGCGCGTACTACCAGGGCAAATTTAAAAAACGCATGTAAACTTTCTTTTGATCTCCCCCTATGCTCCTTAAACTCCACCAACCATGAATGATGCCAAGCAAAGGAACCCAAAAAATAAGGTATCTACTCCGTACATATATGACTCTTTCATCGCCGACTTGAATGCCGTATGGAAAAAAATTATGCTTTCTCCTCTCCCCTTTCCTCCGAAAAATACCAAGAATACCCTCTATCATGCTTACAGATACAAACTCTGAGCAGCCACAATATCTCTCCTTATCTTTCCTAAACTCTCCTCAAACTTCTTCGTCAGGTCGTCATTGCCCATAACCTTGGCGGCCTGAGCCATTTGTCGCAGAAGCTCCTCGAGACGGCGGAAGATACGAATAAATGAACCTTCGTAGACGTTTGCCATTTTGCTATAGGACACAGTGTTAGTCAAAATAAAATTTCAAGACATTTGATTTAGAGTCGTTGCTTACCAAATCTCAACAAACGGCCGTCCCTGCGCCCACGCGTAAATCGTCTCCATAAGCTGCCACTTCAAGCTCTGCGCATATTGGTCCTCATTGACATCCAGCTTAGACTCCTGGCTAACCTTGGCAATCAATCGAGCCTTTGCCTGGATCTCGCGATATGGCTTCTGCAACTCTTCCTTCAAGGCCTGAGTCTCAATCTTCTCGTCAAAGACAAAGCAGCTAAGAACAGCAGCAATGGTCTCGGGTGTCATCTCGTTGAAGAAACGGTCAAAGAGAAGTTCAGACAGGAGCAGCTCATGGCCTTCAGTAGAAGAAATTTCGCAGGCGACACGGGCCTTGAGCTGAACGACTTCGGCATCGTTAATGAATCCGAGACGGCGCAGCACACGTTTTCTGGATTTGAGTTCGTCTAGCTGCGCAATGCTGTGGGCCTTGGCAATCTCCTTCTTCTTCTCCTTGATCTTGTCCAAGATCCCGACCTTGACGTGGTACTGATCCCACAGTGAAGGAAGCATAGGAGACATGTGTAGTGGGTTAGTTACGAGTCTAGACTCGAGAACCTCAATCTTTCGGAGAAGCTGCTTAAAAGATTCATCCGAGATGTCCATGTTCTCCAAGGGATCCAAGATAGGCACGCCATCTGGGAATCGGCGCTGAACTTCGCTCAAAGCCTTTGCGGAGTCCTTGCGATCATCGTCAGACTTCAGGCCTTCCTTTGGCATGAAGATTCGGATCTGGCTGATCGCTTTGATGCATGTTAGGAGGCAAGGCACAACTGCAAACATGCCATCATCGTCAGTGGAGGGCTTGAGCCCGGGTGGCATTTCTCCATTTGGCTGGCCAGGAATAATCTCGGCACTTGATTTGGAAAGGTAGAGAAGGACTTCAATAATGTGGGACTCCTGGGGCGGGTATTCAGGCTCACCAAGCTTGGGAGCTCGTCGCGGGTATTGATCAGTGATAACACCCCAACCAAAGTCGAGTCCGCCACCAATCTTCTCTACTGACTCCTTGGGATTGTGGATCTGCACAAGTCGGCCAGGCTGTAAGAAAGGTAGACAGTAGTTCGGATGTTGGATGACTGCCCGCATGTCCTTGGTGTATGTATTTAGCGATTGTCGGATCGTATAATAATCCTTGACGGTGGCTTCATCCGGTATTGTCAGAGCATCCTTCTCCTGTTGCAGTGCCATCAGATCCTTCTCGAGGCTTGGAACGCTGGCTGCGTTCTGGAACTGGTGGAAACATCTCTCCAGCATAAATTCAGGAGAAATAGCCTCGATTCTGAGAAGGTTGAGAATCATGTTATAGCCAAGGTAGAACGCAGAGTTGAGTCTATCCTGCTGGCCCGTGACAATCTGCTTGGCGGTATCTGGCTCAAGCTTGTCATCAATCATCATAATGACAACACCTCGGGCATCAAGACCACGACGACCAGCACGTCCGGCCATCTGAACGTATTCCGATGAGGTGATTGGTCGAATATTCACACCATCCCATTTCGTAACCTGGGTAAAGACAACTGTCTTGGCAGGCATGTTGAGGCCGATAGAGAAAGTCTCAGTGGCAAATAGCACTTTGATCAGGGACTCTTGGAACAGAATTTCGATTGTCTCTTTGAGAATGGGCAGCAGTCCAGAGTGATGGACGCCAACGCCCTTCTGGAGCAGAGGCAAGAGGTTCTGGATCTGCGGCAGCTCTCGGTCTTGTTCTGACAAGCTCTCAATAGCACTCTGGAAGACCTTGTTTACCATGGCCTTTTCAGAGTCGTCGTTGAAGTTGAGGTTGGAAATCTTGACCGCCATGTTTTCAACCTCCCGTTTGGAGAAATTGAAGACAATGACTGGGTTAAAATTCCTCTTGATCGTCATTCGGATAATCTTGTTGATGTCGGAACCTTCGTCAGCACCGCCCTTGTTGGTTTTCTTGTTCTTTCCCTTTCCTTTCATCTTGGCGGTGAAATCGGCAGGGTCAGAGCCCTTCTTCTCTTCAACTTCGGCCATAACTAGGTTGAAGTTTTCCTCGTTGAAGTAGCCCTTTTCGTCCACCACCATTCTCGCTCCCTTTCCTCCAGCGGGGTAAAAGTAGTTTTGTAGCGGAGTAGGTCTGAAATCAGTGTAAACAACGTGGCAGGCCTGGTGGTGGATCTTGGCAATCCATTCGGCAAACTGGAAGGCGTTTGGAATGGTGGCAGAAAGGAAAACGTATCGGACCTTGTCGGGAAGCATGATGATTGTCTCCTCCCAAACCACACCTCGAGTTTTGTCTCTCATGTAGTGGATTTCGTCAAATACAACCCAAGCGACTTCGCGCATAATCTCAGAGCCGCGATACAACATGGATCGCAAAATCTCTGTGGTCATGACCAAGCAACTTGCTGTGGGGTTAATGGTAACGTCACCAGTCATCAACCCAACATCTCCAAAGAGGGCTTCAAAGTCTCGGTATTTCTGGTTACTCAGGGCCTTGATCGGACTGGTGTAAATGACCCTCTGATTGCGCTTGAGACACTGTGCGACCGCGTATTCTGCCACCACCGTCTTTCCCGCACTGGTGTGCGCCGACACCAAAACACTTTCGTCGCGCTCAATCGATGCCACGGACAAGCTCTGGAAGGGATCCAGCTTGAAAGGATATGTTCGCGCGGGCTCCTCGGGCGACTTGTGCTCGGAAAGAGGAATGTACTCGTAGTTGAGATCGGGCGGAAGAGCCACCTGATGCTGGATATTGTGTGACAGAACGAGCGACGCATCCTGTGAAACAAATGTTGAGGCGCCCGCGACTTCTCTGGACTCTGCTGTCTGGAAGTTGTCGGTCATGACCGGCCCGGCCTCATCGGTCTTCTTGCGCTTCTTGTCTTGGTGATCGGGCGCATCTGAGTCCTCCTCGCCCTCAGACTCTTCGTCTCGAGAAGCCTCGGCGGCGTCAGCCATGCCGACGTCCGCATCGTCGTTTGCCGCATCCGGTGCCGCATTCGCATCCGCTTCCGCATCCACGTCCGCGCTGCCATTCATCGCTTCGTCGGCCTTTCGCTTCTTGCTCTGGGCTCTGCTGCGGCTCTTCTGAGGCGTTCTTTCATCTTCGCTGTCGCTCGGGGCCTCCGCCTTGCCGTCGAAAACATCAAACATGTCGTCCATCTTAGCGGTTTTATATCGTAACCGCAGCTATGAATAGGCGGAAGAGTATGCTGAAATTAAGAAAAAAAAATTGGGATGCTTTAAAAAGCCGGCGTCGATCGATCCTGGTGAGTGTGGAGCCGATTCGCTGCAGCTTGCTTGTCTACAATCGCAATGCAAAACGTTTCACGGTGATTCAAAATCTCAGGTTGCTGGCAAAGTTAGAAGAGCAAGCCAGCCAAATTAGCCAGACATTGAAGTGAAGTTCCACGTGGTAGGAATCGATCCTCCAAAATGGTACAAAAACGCAAAGATTGTTTGACGAAATATTTCCCTGGAAAGAAGTGGATTTGGAGTGGCAGAAAAGAAAACCGTCTGCTTGTCAGAGAAGGCGGTGAGGCATACCGAGATCCACGGGTACTTTGAGCCCGCCGTCTGTCGCGTGCAAGTTCAGGTACCGCCGTGTTAATTCTCCGTGCTAGGATTTTAGCCATTGCATTACATAAGCGCATCTTAAAGCTACAGCTGCACGTGACTGGCAAGCGGCGTTTTGACCTCAATCGAACGATATTGATTCGGGAAGCTTGATATTGTGAAGAACAATCTCAACTCGCCTCAACCGCCCACGTCACACCAATCCCGACGTCCGCAAAGGTCAGCCTCGTCCAGAACTCACAGCTGTCGCTATCAAAACTCCAGACAACTAATTGGCCCCTCGCTATAGATGATCGCCCGCGCTGCCACCCGCACCACCTCCATGGTCGCCCGCCGAGGCTTCCACACCACCCGCCCTCGCATGTCCTCGCCCTACCACTACCCCGAGGGCCCCTACTCCAACTTGCCCTTCAACCCTCGCAGCAAGTACTTTGGTGCCGGCTACTGGACCTTCATGACCGTTGGCTTCTTCGCTCCCTTCGGCATTGCTGGTGAGTCAAGAGTTGCCCCGCCATGCGGCGCGGTTTTCGGCTATGCGATGCGGCTAACATGCAATGACAGTCTACCAGACCTACAAGACCCAGTAAATTGCTGGATCGGTTCGGAATATCGTTATGGGGAGGATGCTGGGCGTCGTGCTGTACGGATAGCGAGTTGCCGAGATGGAGTAAATAGCTCGAATAGACGTGAGGCCAATCGCAGTCACATATGTAACAAAAAACTTGTTTTGTGCCAAATTTACTTTACGACAGCTCGGGATTAAAAGGGTGATACCAATTGTGTCATAACTCGTCTTATACTATAATTGCCCAATTTATGAATGGTAAGGGTAATCTATAAGTTTTCTTTTATATGCCATCTAAAAGTACAACTACATGAATGCCAAGATATTTACAACCATATCGCTAGAAGCTCCTATAACCATGACGCATCCTTGTTATGCCGCTGTAGCTGGAGCCCATCGTTTCGAGTAGACCGCAGGTCTCTGTCGTGGAGAATATTCTCAAACAGTGCGTGCATGAATTGGTGGCGGTCCGGCGGTATATCCCATCTCTGAGACATGGACTCAAACGTCTGGACGAGTACTTCGTTGGAGCAGCACTTTTTCACCGCTCGCAAAGCCCAAATGACCACCCAGCGGTCTATGCGAAATTCCTTTGCAAAGTCATCGTGGGCCTGATAGAATGCCGCCAGTATGCCTTCCAGGCGCTGTTCTGACCAGTCCGAGCCGGCAAATCCTCCATGCGTGTAAAAGCCCTTGAATAGGGCCAGGAAAATGGTAGGATTAATGGATATTTTCAAATGTTTCATCTCATCCAGATATTGGGCAACTTTTTGAAGATTGCCGACTCTGATGGCATAGTGGTCCACCAGCAGCTTGTAGGTATGAGAATCCGGTGTCAAGCGGACGTTTGTCTGAAAGGACTTCTTCAGCTCTGGATGTTTCTTTCCGACCCGCGTAAACATCATAAGGACTTTGGTGACAACCTTGTTCATCATATAGTCCTTTTGAGGAATCTCCGACGCCATTTGGTGATCGTTTCTCATCCGCTGATATGTCTCTTCAGCTGCCGACTCTTCGCCACACCTGAGAAGGCCTGAGATGACGCAATTGAGAACAACAGTATCAATCATCTCGCCAGACTCAACCATGTCTCGGTATGCAGCACGAATCCCACCAGAATCAAGCTTCAATCCAAAGTAGTGGATGAGACTGACATGGTGAAAACGATTGTACTCCACTCCTCTCGTCTCCATCTCCTGATATATCATATCAGCCAAGGTGAAATTCCCCGCCTTGGCGGCAACATCAAATAGAACGTTAAATGTCACGTCGTTTCCCATAATCTTGGCTTCCCTCTCCATTTCTTTCCATATTCTCAGCGCAGACTCCATCTCCTGGGTCGTTACCCTGGCAGTATACTTGGTCGCAAAGGCCAGAGCGTAATTCCATTGTGAGCGGCGAAGAGTAAGCCCTGCATTCTTGACATCCGCAACCAAGGCGAAATAACGCAGCATTGACTCCATGTCGCGCTTATGAGGCGTCCCCATCACTCTCAAAAGTCTGTTGCGCCATTGCCACGTGAGACAGAGCATGCGTGGCTCGGGAAGCTCCGAGTATAACTTGTGTATCCCATCCAGAGCATAGCGACTTGGGTGCCGCAGCCTTTGGCCTATGGCAGTTTGAAGTCGCCCTAGTATTTCTTGCGTCCCGTTGTTGGTCATTGCCGTCTCGTCAGCAGAGGGATACTGCACATCGCTCTTCTTCTCGGATACTCTCAGATTTGGCCCATCTGGAGCCGCATATCCACGCCGGTACGGATCCTTGTAGAAATCAAAATACTCCTCCACACTGCCCACGTCGGATTGGTCGACGTACAGCAGCATCTTTCCCTTATCCTGGGCGATGGCGGGGGGCGGTGGCTGCGGCCGCTGTCGTGTGCCTGATTCGTGAGAGGCAGCGGCTGTCCCGTAGCAGCGAGCGGTGCGTCGAGGGTTCTGCGTCGGTGCGGTGCGGTGCGTTTCGAGGCCTGGCACAAACGTCGATAGCAGCCATTGCGAGCTCCGCGAACAGGAGAGCGGCCGTGGCTGGCGGCATGTTACCGGCGAGGCTGCTGGTCGTTTTGTGTCTTTTCGAGGCTCATGGCCAGCCACATTGCCGCGCAGACGGGCTGCCGCGAAGCCGGCTGATGATCGGGTCGACAGCACCGCACCGCAGAAAGAGCCGTCCACTCGGCCGGGGAGTTTCATGAGCGGCTCCTCATGATGCCGCAGCGGATTTGCTTGGGGTTGGAGATTGGGGTTTGAAGGCCGAAAAAAGCACTAGAATCGTGATAATTGGAGGTGGGGCAGATTGGTGGGATATGTTGAGCTCCAGCCAATGAAAGGGCGGGGTGACTACTATGTGCGATTACCTAGGTAGGTACACATAGGGATTTTTCTCACAGTGCACTTATACACATAGATTTCCACATGTTTAAGCATCAGAGAGTTTGTTTGAGTACTCATTTGCGATGTTGAAGAGTACATACAAGAATGGAATATATAACTTATAGCGAGTTGAGCAATTGAAACTTCTTTCGACAAATTTGTAAAATCTTTTTTCGATTGAAACGCTCTACTTTACACGCAGATGTACCAGTCAAGGGGTAGCATACGAGGCTAATCAGCGATTAACAGTTCAAAATTTATCAATCAAATACTACTTCAAACCGCATTCTAACTTTCAAGTCCGTCATCATAAAAAGTGTCTCTATACATAAATTACGCGGTAGAGTTCGTGGGAGGCGCCGGATTGTACAGCCGCTGGCCGGCCTTTTTGAATCCTGTAATCACAGCTTGACCCCTACCAACCACCCACTTTGCAAAGTCACCTTTCACCTTGGGAGAAGGCACCTTCTTTCCTAGAAGCAGGTAAGCAGGGTTCAAGAGAGGATCACCGGCATTGTCTGAACTAGCCTTGTAAGTCACCGTCTGGTTGCGGCGCTTGGCATTCAGAGACGGAACGGTGCAAAGAATAAGAAGACGGAAATAGAGCAGTCATCTAACCCCACCCATGGTGTTGTCTGCTCGATCTCAGCCACCGTGCAAATCTGAGAAAGGATGGTGAAGACGTCGATTTACCTGGAGATATTAACAAGGTTGGATATGGGTCCAACAAGGAGGAATTGGCCCCGAAAGGCATGGTAGTTTGGGAGCAGAGCGATTTCCTGGTCGATGGCATTTTTCTCTGCTGCCGGGCTGTAGGTGATGCTGACGTCGATAAGCCCAGACTGGAGATTCTCGATGCTGTGGGTGGTGACACGTACGGGCTATTATGCATGTCTCTGTTCATGATATTCAGGGTTCTTAGAAGGGGACTCAACTTGGCCACGGGAAAACTGTGCAACTTTGCCCGTGCGTCACTGCATTAGTCGTGTTTACACCTGAATTGTAAGAATGTGGAGAGAATCAAGGTAAAAAAAAAGTATAACCTCCAGGTGCAATCTCTTCACCTACTACAAGACCTCTTTTCTTATCATGGGCTATACAGATCGACCTGTGGGATTGGAATTGCGAAGTTGTTACGAGTTGTAGTGCTAATTGTACGTTGTAGAAAATTCCATAAGTGAATTTCCATGGAGAGGGCCTAAGGGCCCAAAAGACTTTTTCACCAGAAGAAAGGCGCAAGTCAGAGTAAGGCTCTGTGAAAACCTTTTGTAAGTCCCGGTGTATCCTCCACTCGCTCCTGGGCTGTCCGTGTTGTTCTGTAATGCTTCTTTCGTTACGCCTTATTCTGTGGTATGGCGTATTCAAGATCCAACTATATTATTACGGGTATCTTTTACGCAGCAGAACAATAGCTCGGTGACACCACCCTCGCGCTCGCGTGGAAGGGCTAGCATTATCCGACAGGCTAGGTAGCTTTCCAATTTCTCACATTTAAAACAACTTTGGAGACAAAGATTAAGTTTACATGCAAGAAACCAAATGCCATTGCGTATTATTGCAGGGTAGTATTGGCAAATGCGTGCAATATTTCTGACTATTAAATATGACGGCAGTACGTAATTGTTGTCTATAGTACTGCATAATTCAGGGGTCTCTTCATGTCGGTGAGACTCGCTCTGGTATAAGGTGATATTTCTAAGAACCCTACTGAAAAGCCAAAACGTAGTCGTGATACACTCCAGTTCTCGTCTTTCTCTGAAACAGTAGCAAGGTCGGGTTAGGAATGATCCGACAACGTGTAGGTCATCAATAGCTCTATTGGGCAGCCATGGCGTTTGAATTGAATCAACATTGAGACACGTTGACATTGAAGCTAGACGCCGCCTCGCGTGCCGTTTTCAGCGACCTGAATTATCAACCACAAAAACAGAGTCGCAACAGCGCCCAGAACAATCCGTCAGATCGTGGGGGGACCCCAGGAAGACACTGTGGGCAAGCCTCTGATTGGCTACCGCGACAGTGGAGAGTAGAACAGTCTGCCCATAGAACGTGCTGTCTTTGCAATTGGGCCCCCCTTGAGCTTTCACATGTCAGCAAACGGCAGCCACAGTGTGACGGACCCTGTTTGTTCTGCCGCTGGATCTTCGTCACGAGGACCAAACACAGCACAGGCCCCCCCAAGGCCGAGAATCCAACCGAGAATCTTTCTATTGATATGACATGTGCCTGTCACAAGCCTGATCCGGCCGATCTAGGATCCCTCGTAATACTGGCCGCTCCTTTTATGTGAAATCCATGCCATCCGCCCATCCGCCGCGCACTCCGTACAGTACATACTAACATCCGTCAACCTAAATTGCTCTATCGTTGTGATTATCGCCACCTTTGACGGCCTCAGTTTCGAGTCACGAGCCTAGAAACACTGGATTCGTTGATTTTTAATCTCATGAAGACGAGCGACTATACCATCCGACGGCAAACGGACCTTGAAAGAGGCTGGGGTTACACATTTGCGAAGCTCGAACAAGGTGCTCGGCCACAACCGCCGCGAATTGAAATGATACGTCATTGTTTCTACGATCCGTTGTTATAATAGGCCATCGCACCAGGCCTAGACGTGCGCATCACATGTATAATACCTGTACCCGGATATAGATCAACTGCCTGGAGTCTTTTTTGCGTAATTGTTTTTCTCTCTTCATTTGCGACAATGATAGACCACGTTCTCGGACGGCCGTCGTCCAAATCACGGCGCCTGCAGGTCTTGGCCGTGCTATCGTTTTGGACGTTTTATCTCTACAAGTACGTCTATATTCATTGAGATGATGATATAATAAGGGCATCTTCTAACAGGACAGCAGAGGCCATAAGCATGGCCCATCGTTTGCACAAAACATCTCGAAATTGCTTTCCCGGCGGTTAACAGCATGGCAGACGGCCATCATCACCATGCTCTATCTTTACGCTGCTCGCAACTTCAGCGCTCTGGTCGGCCTTGCCAGTCCCGAGCCCATGGCCAACATGTACGATCCGACTTATTACCGGGCCACCTGGGTTTTGACCGCCCTCGATGCAGGGTTCTGGACCGCCATGAAGATTCGGACTAAGTGGTTACGCGACATTGCTAGCATTGTCTTCTCACTCTATTACCTGGTGGCTGCCGAAAAGGCAGATGAAAAGGTCCGCAAGGTCCGTGGAATGATTACGGTCGACCACCTGCGAGTTGCGTGGAACAAGGGAACGACTCCATACTTGGGCTTTCTCCAGCGTCTCGTGCGGCCACGATTCACGAGATGGCCGCCGAGGCAAGTCCGGATTCCGCGCCCTGCGAATAGCGACTATAAAGAATATGTCTCTGCGTGGCTTTATTACGACGGGCCGCTTGCAGACTTGGAGCACCACGACAGACTTGTTTTGGACATACCGGGTGGTGGATTCGTGGCCATGGATCCTCGGTGCAACGACGACAAGCTGTTTGCTTGGGCTGCGAAAACAGGCTTGCCCATACTCAGCATCGATTATAAAAAGGCGCCGGAATATCCGTATCCATATGCGCTGAACGAATGTTTCGATGTCTATGTAACGCTTGTTAAGTCTCGGGGCAGATGTATCGGCATGTCAGGCAAAGAAATTCCCAAGATTATCGTGACCGGAGACAGCGCAGGCGGAAACCTGGCTGTTGCGACGACTTTGATGATTCTCGAGACCGGAATCAGCCACTATCGACGCGCTTCTGGCGTGGGCAAGCTGCCGCCGCCGGATGGACTCGTCTGCTTCTATCCCACGCTGGACATGAATATCGGAAACTGGATGTCGGACGAGCAGATGTCGCTGATTCGAGATCGGAGAATGAGAAAGACTAACAAATCTATCATACGGAGGAAGAGTATGCAGTACACCGATCTGGTCGGCACGCCGCACCACTCTGATAACGAGGATGAGTCTCCTCCCGCAGAGCCATCTTCCAACGGAGGCACACACCCCGAGTACTGCCACGCCGGCCCGAGATCGCTTAGCTCTTCACGAGCTTCGGACGAGAAGAAGGAGGGAGCCGTATCCCACCGCGCAGAGCCCTTGAAGACTCGTCTGGCAACTGCATCGATGATATCTTACTTTAACGATCGCGTGCTCACTCCTGAGATGATGCGAGCCATGATCATTCTGTACATTGGCGCCCACAACCGCCCTGATTTCACGCAGGATTACTTTTTAAGCCCGGTACTTGCGCCTGAAGAGCTTCTAGAAAATTTCCCCAAGACGTATTTCATGACTGGAGAGCGAGATCCCCTGGTGGACGATACAGTCATCTTTGCAGGGCGTTTGAGGCGTGCAAAGGAGGCGGCGAAGCGGCGGGAGCTTTCCCGCTCATCAACTCTTGATGAAAACTGGACGTTTGACGACAAGGAAGTCACCGAAGTGCTTCTCATCCCGGGCACTTCACACGGCTTCATGCAGTTCCCAGGCGTCTACCCACCTGCGTGGAAGCACTTTGACCGTAGCGCAGCCTGGTTCGACCAGCTCTTTACCGACGCAGAGAGCCAGAGACTCGAACAAGCCAGGCAGGCAGCTCGGCCCAAGAACCAGAATCAAAATCAGATGACAAACGGCGCAGTCCGTCGGCAGTCCATTGCAGAATCCAGCGGCGATGAAGACAGACCGTTGGAGATTAGCATGACCAAAATGTCCCGCGGGAGAAGCACAACGCAGAATGGAGACGCCACTAACAACGGTCATCCTTCACCACCGAATGGCTCAACTGACACCACGGAATCGAACACGCCGCTGCCGGTCTATGGCGAGAAGAATCATGGCCGGAGGGGTAAGAAGTCGATTCGGGGCAATAAGAGCTTGGTGAAGCTGGCGAGTTCGGAGGATTTGCTGGGACGAAGGATGCATGGGCTGGCGAGTGGGTTGACAAGCACGGGGGATGACGAATAAGGGATGATGATGTGATTTGATGCTTATCGAGCTTTTCCTTTTTGCTTTTGTTTTGAGATTGTATGAAATACCTACCATAGAGCGCGCAAGCCATCTAGTATTGATCATTTTATGTTTTGGGATCTGCGAGGCCTGTATATAGAGAGCTCGCTTGATGCCACCAGATAGTGGTGAATTGCAGCCGAAAAGGTGCTGAATTACATACTTACTTATTCATTTATACAGTCATCTTCTCATTCACTTTGATGAGTGATCGACGATGAGCATCGTCTTGCTGTTCAAGACAGGGGCAACTGGGCGGATCCGGTCACAGGTAAGGCTCTGGGTCATAGACGCAGTCTGCTTGGTGCCACGGTCATCAGTAACGCACGCGAGCGCCGTCTTTAAGATATCCACTCAGGAGGTATAAGATGAAAGCATTCGTCTCGGTCCTCTTTCCGTGGCACTGGCGCCAGTGAGTACGAGGACTATAGTGTAGTTATCGGTGTGTATATCAGATGCCAGAACTGCTGTCTTGAGCTGAGGGGCGTGATGGCAAAGGTGAGATCTAGGCTTTTAAGCTACTTTGTGACTTCCGAGAACATTAGCCACCCTCAAATTATTTATTGCTTTTACTGTACATTCTGTACTCCGACTCCTGTTGGCCATACATTACCCCGCACCTGTAAAGGACTTAGCGCAATCCAGATAACCCTCACAAATGCTCTTTCAGCCTTGCCTTTGTTGTTTACCTTCTTGGTATATCACCAGAATACTGGCATTATGAGATCTACTCGCGCTATCAAGTCCAATACCATTGGTAATAATGCCCGCATTTATCAAGCAGATGTGATACAAAATTACGCCAGCAAACCCAGCGAACCCTGCGTCCTGATTCCTTTCCCCCGTAATGAAGAGCTCATCTCTCGTCAAGACCTTATTAGCGAGCTAGATAGAATCTTGCCGCTATCCGAAGATTACTCCACCGCCGCCCTCTACGGTCTTGGTGGCTCAGGGTAAGCTATCCAGGCGCGCTATGATGTGAAACGTTGCTAACATGAAGCTACGGTAACCCAGCAAAACTCAGATTGCCCTCGACTATGCCTATCGGCGGTGTCATGACCCCACTTGCTCCGTGTTCTGGGTCCATGCCGACAACGAGACCACATTTACCCAAGACTACAAGTCGATCGCGAGGAAGCTAGGTCTCTCAAGCAATCTCGATGGCGAGGATCTCTTAATGGCTGTACGCTACAGCATTGAGGCGAGCCCTCCCTGGGTACTTATTCTGGATAACGCGGATAACTTGAGGCTCTTTGGCGTTGGTAATACCGCACAAGATGCTTTAAATACAGGAGACCATGCATCAAGCCTGGATAGTTTCATCCCACGAGGTCCAAGGGGCCAAATTCTGTGGACGAGCCGCGACGAGCGCATCTCTGGAGGTCTTGTTGCTGCTCGACGCGCCATCAAAGTCTCTCATATGACTCCAGATGAAGCGAAAGAGCTGTTTGATAGTGTCAGAAATAAACAAGCGAGCAGCAACGAGGCAAAGGATATCGCAGCACTTCTTGCCGAACTTGACTGGCTACCGCTCGCTATATCGCAAGCTGCAGCATATCTAAGAAGACCTTTAACAACTGTTGAGGAATATATGCTGAGATTAAAAGAGGGCAAGAAAAGATGGAGGATTCTGAAGCAATCACAGACTGACCGTTTTCGGCGACGAGAGGTATCAAACAGTATTTTGGAGACCTGGAACATTTCAATGAAGCAACTTCAGATTGAGAACAAGACATCATATCAGATTCTGCACATACACGCCTTTATGGATAACCAGAATATCCCTTTCGAGTTGATTAAGCAGGCGGCTCTATACAGCGACGAGAGTAATGTGCTGGACCATGTTCACGAAGAATATGATTCATCATCATCATCAGACTCTGATAGTGATGGTGATAAAATTACAGAAGCTATCGCCCGTCTCTGTGAGTTTTCGTTCTTGAGTATACAAGACACTGAAAATGGAAAGCGCGCATACAAGGTGCACAAGCTAGTGCAAGAAGCGATGCGGTATGAACTCGGTAGAAAGGAACGAAAGAAAGAAGAAAAGTATTTCTCGGCTGCAGCACTTGGGATTATTTCAAATCTGCTCCCGGTCAGTGGACCAGAAGTATGGAACGAATGCGAGAAGTACACCGCACACGCACAGCGGGCGTGTGAGTGGGCTACACTTTGTGGAGGAGAATTAACGGCCGCGAATATATTAACGAGGCTATCGGATTATCTATACGAATGTGGAAGATGGAGAGAGGGGGAGATTATAGACCAAAGAGCATATGGACTACGAAAGACGGCGTTAGGAGACAAGCATCTTGATACGATCGCGAGCATGTCAAATCTTGGAGCCACATATCATGAACTTGGCAAGTATGAAGAAACTAAGAAAATAACAATGGAAGTACTAGCACTACGGCGGGACATTCTTGGCGATAAGCATCCTAATACTATTGAGAGTATAGCAGATCTTGCAACAGCATATTATACACTTGATAACTATGAAGAAGCAGAGGGACTATACATGGAAGTAATAGCACTACAGCGAGAGATTCTTGGCGAGAAGCATCCTAATACAATTACGAATATGGCATGTCTTGCAATAACATATAATGCACTTGGCAGGTATAAGGAGGCAGAGGGAATACATGTGGAAGTACTGGCACTACAGCGGGAGATTCTTGGCGATGAGCATCCTCATACACTCTGGAATATGGCATCTCTTGCAGCAGCATATTATGCACTTAATAATCATGAAAAAGCAGAGGGACTATACATGGAAGTATTAGCACTACGGCGGAAGATTCTTGGCGATAACCATCCTAATACAATTAAGAGTATGGCATACCTTGCAAGAACATATCATGCGCTTGGCAGGTATAAGGAGGCAGAGGGAATGCAAGTAAAGGTACTGGCACTACAGCAGGAGATTCTTGGCGATAAGCATCCTGATACAGTTTGGAGTAGGGAAGGACTTGCAGCAACATATCGCGCGCTAGGGAGGAATGAAGATGCTGATAAGTTAGTTTAAGTTTAAGGTTAAGCTAGGTTATTATTCTTGTGCTGTTAGTATCTCTGCGATTTAAATTTGTAGAAAAAGCTGGTTGTTTGGGATTAGGAGATGAAGCTATGAAAGCATTAACGAAATAAGATGCATAATTTCTATGCTTGTGATTTAAGTACTCTACAGCCAGACCAAAAAAAATCAATGTTCCCCATGATTTTTGATCTGATCAAATATGTAACCGCAAAGATAATATGGGGTAGAGCGACGATGATGCATCTAATGTCGTATACCAGGCAGTCTCAGTGGCACTGTCACGGCCCGAGGACGTGAGCTGAATGTTTCTATATACTAGTACATATAGCTATTGTACTTGAAAGAACCGGCTTTTACGGTCTATTGTAGATTTTAGGGCACGCGCTAGGTCATTTCATTCAGCTGCTTCTGGTTGTCTGTCAAGTGTTGCTGTATGTAATAGATTCTTACGTTATTGACGGACGTGCGTCCAAAAAGTGATTTTTTTCACATGTTGGTTATGTCATCTTACAATTATACCTCTGGAATACGATGTGACAGGTGCATCGAGCCACAATACGACTAAAAATGGGTCCTTCTCATAGTTGTTATCTAGCTAACCCGCGACATCCATTTCGCCTTTTACTGTATTATGAGTAAGTTGAATATATATAATAATTTAGCTTAGAATAAACAAAGTGTGTGTGTGTGTGTGTGTGTGTGTGTGTATTATACCGTTCTTCTTAAATGCGAAGGTGTTTACTGTACTAAGAAATAGTAGGCGGGGTCCTTATGTGACGCATAACACCGGTGTCGGCCCCCACTAACTTTTTCCTATCATTGCCCTCGACTGATTGACCAACATTACTTCCTCAACAAACTTTTCAACCTTGATAACTCCCGCCCTCGATCTCGAGCGTTTCATTCTTCAACATCATCAGCGTTGAATACTCACGCCCTTGATCTCGAACGCCAATTGGTACCATTGCGCACCATATGCCCAGTCGGCCTCATCAATCCCATTGATTGCATCGGCCTTGGAAACGACCTACAAATACTTCAATATGGCCGAGAAAACGGCAGACGCCCCGGCAGCTGGCATGCTCTGGGGGGGCAGGTTCACAGGTTCGAATGTCTCGGGAAACAAGCTTCGGATGCAGTATACTGACCTCACGGTGCGCAGGTGCGATTGATCCTCTCATGCACAAGTACAATGCCTCCATCCGGTACGACAAGGCTCTTTACAAGGAAGATATCCTTGGATCGATTGCTTTTGCCAGGGCCAACTCAAAGGCTGGCATCATTAGCGAAGACGAGTTTCAGGCGATTGAGCGTGGTTTGCTCCAAGTGATGGAAGAATGGAAGCAGGGAACTTTCGCCATCATGCCGAATGACGAAGATGTGAGGAAGCCACTCAATTCTACTCAACTTCTCGAGGCTAACACCATGGGGCCAGATTCATACGGCAAACGAACGTCGCTTAGGAGAGGTCATTGGCAAGGACACCGCGGGTAAGCTGCACACAGGTCGCAGCCGCAACGAGCAAGTCGTCTGTGATATGCGCATGTGGTTACGCGATCGGATCCGCGAAATCGACGGCCAGCTCGTTGCATTCCTCAAGGTTTTGGCCACACGAGCCGAGTCTGAAATGTAAGCCTGACCGCACCTCTGGCCAAAAGCGCCCACCCTGCTGACTGACAACCTCAGCAACTATATCATGCCTGGATACACCCACCTACAACGTGCCCAGCCCGTGAGATGGGGTCAATGGCTGATGTCATATGCCGCTGCCTTCAAGCAGGATCTCGAGCGGTTGCGCCAAGTTTTTGAAAGGGTCAATCTAAGTCCACTCGGTTGTGGCGCTTTGGCCGGCAACCCATTTCGAATCGATCGAAACATGATAGCTGAGGAGCTTGGCTTTAGCGGAATAACCTTGAACTCGATGAATACTTCGGCCGACCGCGACTTCATTATTGACTTTTTGGTGTGGAACTCGATTTTCACCAACCACATCAGCAGGTGGGCTGAGGACCTCATCATATATTCGACATCTGAGTTCAGTTTCGTGCGGCTGGCCGACGCCTACTCTACAGGTAGCTCTTTAATGCCTAATAAATTCAACGGGGACTCGCTGGAGCTTTTGCGCGGCAAGTCAGGGCGTGCTTTCGGTCAAATGGCTGGGTTAATGATGGTGAGTCCTCATATTAACATGTCAGCCAGTTGCCTTGGCTTTGAGGGTGCTAACTATTTACTTGGTAGACTGTGAAAGGCTTGCCATCTTGCTATAATAAAGATCTCCAGGAAGGGTGGGAGCCTATGCTGGATTCGGTTCAGACTGTGTCGGATAGTCTAGGCATAGCCAATGGGGTCATTGCTACCCTGAAGGTGCGGCCAGAGCGGATGGAGGCTGCTCTGGACAAGACGATGCTAGCCACTGATGTCGCAGAGTGGTTGGTGAGGAAGGGAGTTCCGTTCAGAGAGGCTCACCACATCTCTGGACGCGTCGTTGCACTGTCTGAAAAGCAGGAAATATCGATGGACAAGCTGACCCTTGAGCAACTGCAAGCTATTGACTCTCGGTTCACAGCAGACATTGTGGAGGCATTCGAATATGAAACGAGCGTCGAGGCGAAATCGTCCAAAGGCGGTACCAGTCGATCAAGCGTGCTAGAGCAGATCCAGGTACTCAGGGCTATGTTGGATTAGGGGTGTGATAGCCTAGTGCAGGTTCCGGCCGAAGTAAGGGAATCAAGGACGGATATTACGAATGGCACGCCTTATTCTGTGGAAGAAGATATGATTTAAGAGCGACGCTCTTGAATGAACCAAAAAGTTGTAAAAATGACACAAGATGAGTAGAGAAACTCGGACAAGACAACCGCCGGACATAGGAGGAGTCGTTGTCGATCAATAAACGTTTGGTCCTGAAGGCATTTTCCTATGAAATAGTTGAATTCTTGGGAATCGGCAGTCAAGGCGCCGACTTGTTGCCAAGAGAATCTCTCTAGCTACAGCAATGTTGGCCAAACTCCAGACGCTTCCTTTTCTTTCTCCTCTTGCGATATTTTTTCTCCTATGGGTGTAGACTGACGTCGCGCGCAGGTAAACCTAGCATGGTATGAAGGAATCGGCGTCTATGGAAACTACTCGTCTATGGAAACTACTCGTCTGTGGTCTTGTTTCGTGGTAGACTACCCAAGTACTACTATCTACTACTACTATGGAGGTACTAACCACTACTATCCCTGTCCCACTAGGCCGCTGCCCCCACCAGGCTCGCCGGATCTGACGGCTAAAGAAGCCCCCCGTCTGGAAAATGAATGATGTCGACGCTTCTCAAAAGCTTGGCCTATTCGTCACGGCCGATCCCTTGGATGTGCCGGCCACCCGGGCTCTTTCGCGTCTTCTCTCTTTGTTTGTTTGTTTTACTTGTACGACATCTCCACTTTGCCTATTTTCGCGCTTTTTTTTTTTTTTTGTTTTTTATTTTATTTTTCTCTTTCTCATGGAATATGGAATAGGAATGTCTTTGTCTACTTGTAGATGCATGCAGGTGGGCTGTTTGTCGCGTTGGTATTTGGCGCAGATCACCCGGCCGCAGTAAGGATAGGAGTGAAATCGCGAAACGATTTTAGTTTTATATGCGCGGGAGGGACGGGACATGAGATGAGACAAGACGTTGCCGGTCCGTCATGCCCGCTGTTCCGTGGCCAATCGATGAGTCTTGATCGCCTTCCACTCAGGTTATTAAAGCAGCGCCGCCTCAGGTTTTCCTACCAGAACCGAATTTTGGAATGGACGAAATTGTCGGGTGTGGCTATTGAGATACATGTAGGAATTGAATGATGTCGAGCCTACTACGTAGTAGAATAGAGGGGGAGGGGCAGCATAGCTACTAGACTAGTCCAAACCAAGGTTTTGGGAACAAAAGGAGGGGCAGAAGAGGGACATGAGATTCGAAGCTGGAGCTGCAGTGCTTTGTTGCGATAAGAGTCACGTATGTATATAAGCAGTAGTTCATGTACGAGCTGCAGTTGTCTGAAGACGGGGCGTCTATCATGTAGACCGGTATGTCACTCGCAGACTTGTGACAGAGGGCAAAGCAGAGCAGACAAAGGGAGCTGAGGGGCGATCAAAGGAAAGCATTGGATCATATACGCGCCAATTAATATGCTGCAAACAGAGCTCAAAGCTAGGAGCACTGCCCTGCCATTGGAGCTCTGGAGCTTCAGCGTTCAGCTGTCCCGGCCCATTTGTCTGTGGCTGCTCCACGTCATTGGATGCGGCAGTCATGCGCGCTGGGTCTTTGAGATGAGTAGTATAAGGTACCTTAAGGTAGTATAGTACAGTACAGTACATGGTACGTTCTGCTGGATACCCCTCATCATCATCAGGTCGAGTCTAGTGAGTTTGCTGCACGTTGCTCTTCACTGCGTGCATGTCACTCGAGTCTCGCTTGGACCTCGTGTTGCCCTAGAAATACCGGAACGTCGTCACTGCTCCCTCCCACTCCGGTTCCTCTCCCTCTCCCTCTCCCCATTCTCCTCACCACTGCTCATTTCTGGACTTGTCCTCTCTTCTCTTTACTTTCCCACTATCCTACTATTTCTCAATCATCGTCACCATGGTCCATCTCAGCGCCGTCAACCGCTCCGCCTCGGTCAGTCCCGGCCCCCAGATGGCCCCGGCTGGAGGCTCCAGCTCGCTTCACCCCGACCAGGGCCTGCACAAGAGCCTCTCGCAGGTCAAGCTGTCCAGCTACCAGGACGAGTTCACCACCAGCGTCTACGGCTCGCAGTTTGCCGGCCAGGACCTGCCCAAGCACAGCATCCCCGGCGGCGCAATGCCCAAGGACGTGGCCTACCACATGATCAAGGACCACCTCAGCTTGGACAACAACCCGAAGCTCAAGTAAGCTTTTGCAATTGAGTTATTACACAGATCAGAAGCTAATTTACCTCAAAAGCCTGGCTTCCTTTGTCACAACTTTCATGGTACGCTTGTCATTCAGCCAAGCCATTTTGAAGCTCCATCCTCACTAACACCTTTTCCCGCAACGCAGGAAGACGAGGCCGAGAAGCTCATGACCGAGGCCTTCTCCAAAAACTTCATCGACTACGAGGAGTACCCTCAGTCCGCCGACATCCAGAACCGCTGCGTCAACATGATTGGTGAGCTCTTCCACGCTCCTCCTGGCGGCGACAGCGTCGGCACGTCCTGCATCGGCTCCTCCGAGGCCATCATGCTCGGCGTCCTGGCCATGAAGCGCCGCTGGAAGCTCAAGCGCCAGGCCGAGGGCAAGCCCACCGACAAGCCAAACATCATCATGTCCTCCGCCGTGCAGGTCTGCTGGGAAAAGGCCGCGCGCTACTTTGAGGTCGAGGAGAAGTATGTCTACTGCACGCCGGACCGGTACACGATTGATCCTCAGGAGGCTGTCGACCTGGTGGATGAAAACACCATTGGTATTGCCGTCATTCTGGGAACGACTTACACCGGCCACTATGAGGATGTCAAGAGCATCAACGACCTCTTGGAGGAGAAGGGGCTGGATGTGTCAATCCACGTCGATGCTGCCAGCGGAGGCTTCGTCGCCCCCTTTGTGCTGCCCGACCTCGAGTGGGATTTCAGATTGCCCAGAGTCGTCTCCATCAACGCCTCTGGCCACAAGGTCAGCAATCTTGACTCTTTGTCTCTCTAATCATGCAACTAACCATTCAACAGTACGGCCTCGTCTACCCCGGTGTTGGCTGGGTCATCTGGCGCTCGCACGAATACCTCCCCCAGGACCTCATCTTCAACATCAACTACCTCGGCGCCGAGCAGTCCTCCTTCACCCTCAACTTCTCCAAGGGCGCCTCCCAGGTCATCGGCCAATACTACCAGTTCATCCGCCTCGGCAAGAAGGGCTACGAGGCCATCATGAGCAACCTGACCCGCACCGCCGACTACCTTACCGAAGTCCTCGAGCACGACGGCTTCGTCATCATGTCCGAGCGCGGCGGCCAGGGCCTGCCCCTCGTGGCTTTCCGCTTCAAAAACGCCTCTGAGGGCGGCAAGGACCGTCATTACGACGAGTTTGCGCTGGCGCACCACCTGCGCTCCAGGGGCTGGGTCGTGCCCGCGTACACGATGGCGCCGCATACCGAGGGGCTCAAGATGCTGCGTGTTGTTGTGCGCGAGGACTTTTCCAAGAGCAGATGCGATTTGCTCATCCACGATATTAAACTCTGCGTGGGACTGCTGGACAATGCGGATGAGGAGACGATCAAGAGACAGGAGGCCTTTATCCGGGACCACGTTGCGTCGCATGGCAAGAGCAAGCAGAATGCCAGACACCATGCCTCGAAGCACTACAAGGTAAGTTTAAGACTCTCGTGTTAATATAATCTCTTGCTGACGCAATCATCTAGGGCGAGGACCACTCGTTGCAGGGCAAGCATGGCAAGACACATGCCATTTGCTAAAAAGTGTATGTTGGGAAAAGAAGATTTAAAAAATATTAAACAAGTTCAATGGATATCTAGTACATGTTACCGCATATAGTAAAGGCACATTCACATTTACTTGTACGATTTGTGACTTGGTAAATAAGCGTCATGGCTATTGATATGTTTCGTGAAAATAAAGAACTTTTATACACTATAGGATCCCATCCTATCAAAGCAAATCATAATCTAACCCGCCAAACATTTTATACAAAACAGGAAAAACAAATAGTAAAAAGGGGCCACCCTTAAGCCCTCGTAGCCCCAATCGCCTCCTCCAAAATATCCAATCCATGATGAATCTCCTCCTCCGTCATCACCAAGCTCGGCAAGAACCGCAACGTATTCGTCCCCGCCGTAATCACCAACAATCCCCTCTCCCTCGCGGCCTTGACAATCGCAGCCGGGTCCTCAGTAAGCTGCAGGCCGAGAATAAGACCGCGCCCACGAGCTTCAGTAATCAACTCGGGGAACTTGGCCTGCAGCTTGGCGAAGCGGTCCATGAAGACCTTGGATTTAGCTTGCACGCCCTCGAGCAGCTCCGGCGCAGAAATCTTGGTGAGGACGTGGTGCGCAAGGCGGCACGCAAGCGGGTTGCCGCCAAATGTGGTGCCGTGATCACCAAGCTGGATCTTCTCGCTCACAGCTTCAGTAACAAGTACAGCGCCAATGGGGAAGCCGTTGCCGAGGGCCTTGGCCATGGTCAAGATGTCCGGGTGAGCTTCCTTGGGAAGATTCCCATGAGCCCAGAGCTTGCCGGTACGTGACATGCCGGACTGAATCTCATCGTATATCAAAACAGCGCCAACTTCGCGACATCGCCTGGCGAGCGTAACCATAAACTCCTCGCTGCCGGCAAAGATGCCTCCCTCGCCCTGGATCGGCTCAACAATGACACCGCACGTCTTCTCATTGACAAGCTCATTAATACCAGCAACATCGTTGTAAACACCCTCCTTGAAGCCCGGCACCATCGGCGCAAACGGCTTCTGGTACTTTGGATTATGCGTCGCCGACAGCGCCCCCATCGTGCGTCCATGAAACCCATGCTTGAACGAAACAATATCCACCTTGTCGCCCGACGGATCGACAACTTTGCCCGCCTTGCGCGCAAACTTGATCGCAGCCTCATTCGCCTCCGTGCCAGAATTGCATATAAACACGCGCGCCGCCTCGTGCATGCATCCCGCCTCGAGCGTCTTCTCAACAAGCAGCTTCGACAGCGCGCCCGTCCAGGGATTGTAGTACAAGTTTGAAGCGTGGATCAGCGTCCCGGCCTGCTGGGCAATAATGTCCGTGATCTCGGGGTCGCTGTGGCCCAGCCCCGTGACGGCAATGCCCGCCGTAAAGTCGAGGTACTTTCGGTTTTCAATGTCCCAGAGCCATGAGCCCTCGCCCTGGACGAAGACTGGCGGAGGCCGGGCGTATGTGGCGACCATGTAGGGCGCATAGTCGTTGACGAGGGCCGCGCTCGGAGAATCGGGTGCAGGGTCGGGATTCGAGAGAGCTGCGTCTCGCTGCAATTAAAGAAGATGATTAGCTCATTGAATGAAAACAAAAGAAAATAAAAATATCAATTGATATCTCCGATATGATGTAGGAGTTGAATTGGTTGGAAGAGCAGAAAACAGGACTCACCTTGATAGCCTGCTTCACACTATCAGACAAGCTCGCAACCGCCCTCGTCGACGAAAAGAATCGTCCCCCAACCCTCGCGCTCGCAGCCAAAGTGGCCGCCTGGCGCCCAGCCAATACCCTAAAAGCCATTGGATCCAGATAGCAAACAAGCAAATCGCCAATTCGATAGAAAAAGTGATTGGGAGTGGAAATAGAGAAGGCAAGCCGAGCTTTATGGCGGGGAGCGATATAATTTCAATCGCGCGCCCTTCAAAGTGTTATCGATAAAAGCTCCGCTATCGCTGCTCCCGCCGCGACCTCTTTTACAAAAAAAAAAGTCATATGTGATGACGGCACTTATCATTTTTTTTTTCCCTGAGTCATTTGTTGTAGGCCTCTTTCTTTTTCTGCAAGCACTGATAACGATGGAGTCATTGCTCTGCATTCTTTAAAATGGGGCAAACAAGCCGGAATATGGAGACGCTGTGAGTCTAGCCTCCTACGCAGAGTCACCGCTGGTCCATAGACCGGAGACGCTACAGACATCACTACAAACTGCATCAATATAGGTACAATCAATGATTGGGCCAAATACAAAGTCAGTACCATCTACCGCGGTTGGAACGCACCAAAGACGATAAACATGTTGTCATGGCATTATCACTAGTAGAACCCAACAAGAAATAATACAGCCTCTACCAAGTCCGCCCAAACAAAACGCAAACGGGTCTTAGTATGCAACCAGAACGCCGTCTTGCCAAAAAAAAAAATGAAATAATGACAAGAGAGGATCAGGGGAGGGTAAAACATAGGGTGAAAAGAGGAGACAAAAGATATTACCGAGAACCCCAAAACATTGTGCATTGTATAAGCCTTTCTTTGTTCGCAGCCATTGTATTTCATAACCTGCCTATTTCTCCATCCATTCGTCAAGCACTATGCCATGGAGAAACATATATGCATTTCTCCTCGTCACTAGACGGCGCTATATCCTCCTCGGCTGCCAGCGCCCTGGACAGTGTTCAGCACCCGGCGCGTCCAGTCCTTGAGGAGGTAGGGAATGTCGCGGAGGGTATCGCCGTGGGGGAGCAGGTCCCAGCCCCGTGCGCCGTAGCGGTTGTAGTTGAGCCAAGAGCCGAAAATGAGGTATGCCGCGATGCCAAGGAAGACGCTACAAAAGGTCATTAGTCACGGGTTCAATCGTTTCTGTCAGTATCAAGGAGCACTTACATAATAACGAACCAGGTGAAGAAGCCCCAGCTGGCACTGGAGTCGCCGGGCTCGCGGTCGTCATCCTTGTCTCCGCCCTTGCCTCCGTCACGCTTCTCACACGCATGCTTGGTGTACCAGGTAAGTCGGAGGACGTCGAAATCCTTCTCTTTGGCATAGTCCTCCCAAATGAGGGCAGCATTGTCGTTCTTCAGCTGGTGCTCAACCGCCGAGTCACCCTTTCCATCGTCGTCTTTATTATCTCCGTCTTTCTCGTCCTTGTCCTTGTCCTTTTTGTCGTCTTTGTCATCCGCTGCTCGTTTTGACTTGGGGGCCTTTTCGTATTCATCTTCCGATGTCCACTCGCCCTCGGTACCCGTCTTGTCGGGATCGCAGATAAACTCAATGACGGCCTTTTGGTTTCGTCGCTCGGAGACTGGGCCGGTGAGAGGGTGTTTGCCGCCCTTGAGAACCAGTCGGAGGCCTTCCTTCTGGGCATCGGAGTTTGAGTCGCTGCTCTTGAGCCTCGTCGCCTCGTATTCGAACTGTGATCCGCCGGCGTTTTCGAGTCCTCCTGCGATGGCGACCACTTGTGTGACTGCGTCTTGGTCGCCCTTTAGGAAATGGGAAATGGCACAGGCTGAAATAGGGGTCAAGCAATGTTAGCCGAGCAGTCTGAGCAGGCGGGAAACAACAATGTCATACCTCTTGTTCCATTGGGACACTCGTCTTTCGTCTTCGCCTTTCCGCTCTTCTTCAGCGGCTGGCAAATGTCCACGGTCCAGGTGGTGTTGTAGTGAGCATTCGTGCTAGCCTCGAACCGCGACGTCACCACCGAATGCGGGCCGCCAAGCGGCGACAGATCAAAGTTGTGCTCATCCACTCGAATCTTGTTGCAGCTCAGCATGGCCGCCGCATTCAACGGCGCCAGCAGAAACGACAGCAGCAACGCTGATGACCGAGGCGGATGCATCGTGGCTGTAGAATGTAGAGCAAAGAACGGGCCGGGGTTGAGAGAAACCAGGGGGTGCCGCCGACTTGCGAGTTAGACAGCGGGAGAGACAAAGACAGGAATGCGGCGATAAAGGACAGGGGCGGCAGACAAGATGCTACAGCTCGACGCTCTCGCGAACAGAAGAAAAAACAACAGCGACGATTCTAGGCTCTGGAAAAGAATGACTGCGAGATTCTGTTGGAAGGATGCACGAGACCTGCGTTGACGCCTCTGGTTTGATCACGTCAAGCTTTCGCGAAAGCAAAACGGGGCTAAAGCTGGAGTTGACGTGACCGACTTCTGGTTCCGTCATGCATGCCGATGAGGCCGGGCGCACGTGACCCGCTGCGACAATCTTCAGCGGAAAAGCGCATTGGCACAGGGTTCGACAATAAGCGAAACATACGGTGTGCGGCTTTTTCGGTGAAAAGGGGTTCCAAATGAACTTGTAAAGTCGTGTAAACCAATGGGATGTTACTGAAGGTGAAACTCAAATGAGAATAAAACAAAAAATAAGAAAAGACTGCCAAAAATTTACATGTAATTCGGCATATCATGAGCCTAGTAGGCAGCCAGTACAAAGCTGCTCAGCTCCCTACAATGGGCTTATCAGATAATACTACCTTAGGCACTTGGATCACTATAATAGACGGGTATCGACAAACTCAAAATTGCATCTTTGGCATAAACTGTTTTGAAAGGTTATTTGTAGAACTATTCGTACTCGACCCTTTCGCCCCTATTACAACTACCTGAATGCCCTCTCCTCCACCAACGCCATTTGCTATTTTAACAAAACTCATTAATATCATACCCATTGTAGCAGTTGATATATATATTGAACCCGTTCTTCGTGAGAGGAAAAACGAAGATGGAAAAGAAAAAAGAGAAAAAAAAAAGAACCACGAAAGAAGAAAGAAAAGACAGAAGAAGAAGGATAAAACACAATGGGAAGAAGAATAAAAGTTAGAAAAAAAAAATTGAAAAAAATGAAGAAAAAGCAATAGTACACTAAGCAGGTTTGTCGGGGTTATCCTGCCTCTTCCCGAGAAAACATCATTCCGTTGAAAGGGGTATTGGAACAGACTTGCCCAAACGCAGAGTCCTTCGTGATGCCGAAATTATAAGCCTACCTCCCTCCGTAACTCCAAAATGTAGAGAAAAAATAAAGACAAGCCAGCAACCTCCCCTGCTCTCTTTGGCTTTACCCAGAATCCAAAGCTGGCCAAGCTCAACTTTTCACATATCCCTAGATGGCATACATTTCGTTTTGTAACTTCGTAACTTCTTGAGGCTCCTTCAGTCGTCGTATGGAGTTTTTTTCCTCTCCTCCTCAGCTTGTTCAAAATCACATTCCCTGATGTTGCATCATCCCGCCCATGCCCTGCATTGCTGCTTGCTGCTGTTGTTGCTGAAGCATGATCTGCTGTTGATGCGCTCTACGCTGATACATTTCCCTGACCATTTGTGAAGCTTGGTGGAACGATGATTGCTTGATCTTTTCTACCGTTTCTTGTGGAACATTTTCTGCTCCGCCAAATTTGACGGCTGCGGTGTTCATAAGGCGGGTGTATATGGAGCGCGCCTGGTTTTGCATCTGAACTTGGACGGCGGCCTGTTGCATTTGCTGAGGAGTTTGTCCTTGGTGCTGTTGCTGCTGGGCATGGGCTTGGGCCTGAGCCTGGGCTTGAGCCTGAGCCTGAGCTTGTGCCTGTGCCTGAGCCTGTGCTTGTTGTGCTTGGGCTTGTGCCTGGGCTTGTGCCTGAGCTTGTGCCTGGGCCTGGGCTTGTGCCTGGGCTTGTGCCTGGGCTTGTGCCTGCTGTTGCTGTTGCTGTTGCTGCTGTTGCTGTTGTTGCTGCTGCTGCTGTTGTTGCTGTTGCTGCTGCTGCTGTTGCTGTTGCTGCTGCTGCTGTTGTTGCTGTTGCTGCATCTGCATGGCCATCAAAGCTTGCATGTTAACGGCATTGGCGTTGTTGCCATTCAGCATCTGCCCATTAGCTTGCATCATGTTGCCCATCTGCCCGCTTAACCTCCCCATCTGGGCCATCCGTTGTATCTGAGCCTGCATATTAGGAGCCATCTGGCGCATCTGAACGTTTTGCATATTTTGCAACTGCTGGGCGTATTGCGCCGCCCACTGCTGCTGCTGCTGTGGGTTGGTCATGTTATTCGGTGGGGGGTGCGCAGATTGCTGCATCTGTTGCTGAGGCCCTTGCTGAGACTGCTGCTGCTGCTGCTGTTGCTGTTGCTGCTGCTGCTGGGCCGCTATCATCTGGCGTTGCATCAGTTGCATCATCTGCGCTTGCTGTTGAGACATGGGCTGGCCTTGTCCAGGCATGTTCATATTATTAAAATTGCCATTCTGGAGAGCGGCCGCCATCTGCTGCTGCTGGTGTTGCTGCTGCTGCTGCTGCAGCATAGCTCGTTGTTGCGCAGTGAGCTGGGCAATCATTTGAGGGTTGGCTTGGGCCATGCCTTGGTTGTTCATCATCATCTGCTGGCCTATCTGAGAGTTCTGAGCCATCATATTAGGAGGAGGGCTCGTTTGTGTTATGCGAGGAGTTCCAACCATTGCAGGTCGGTTAAGCGGAGTAGCATGAGACATATTCGGCGTCGTCTGCGGCATGCGTGGTGTACCGGACGGATGGCTCTGTTGGCTGTTTCTAGAAGACATGGTATGGGCCATAGGAACTGACATCTGTTGGTTTTGCACAACTGAGGCAGGTCGAGGAGGACTTGCCGCCATGCTGGAGTTGGTTTGCTGCATAGGAACGCTTGTGACCATAGGTGACGACATATTTTGGGGTGTATTATGCCGGACAATGGGAGAAGATACTGGAGCTTGAGACATTGTTGCTTGGAACCGTGCCTGAGCCGGTCCAGATATGCCATTTGGCATCGAATTCTGCGGAACTGTCGATACGGCATTTGGCATCGCATTGGGCACCACCCCATTCTGAATAGGGTGGCCGTGCTGCGTCTGGTTCATCTGCTGTTGGCTGTTGTTGGTTTGAGCAACAGGGGTTGACGCCGCGGCGCGAGCGGCCATGGCTTGCCGCTGCGCTTCGGCAGCTTGTTGACGCATTTGGGTCTCTCTAGCTTGAGCCTGTTCGCGCCTAACCCTCTCCATGTCTGCTTGTCTCTGAGCAGCTTCTGCCGCGGCTGCTTGCTGTCTCTGCAGCTGCAGCTTTCGGTCATTCTCTTGCTGCTTGAGCTTCTCCTGCTCTCTCTTCTCGGCATGCTCCCGTTTGATATCTTCAATAACGTTGAAACGCTCAAATCTGGGTTCAAATGTAGCAGCACCGGTTGCAGCATCTCCATCTGCTCCACCGCCAACTTGAGCGCCCGTGACATTTGATGCCAACCGATCGTCCAAAACAAGCATGTACCGCTCCAGTTCTGCTGCCGCTGCCTCGTCCGCGGCCATCTCCGCCACTGTTCGCTTGCGGGCCTTTGGCTGAGGCGGAGGTTTGCTGTGGCTGGGATGTGACATTTTCTCCAATAACGCAATGGTATCCTCAAGGCTTTGGGTTGGTTCAAGGTAAAGAGGACCAGAGGTCGCCAGCAATATCTGTCCTTCGACAGCATATATGTTACTGCCGTCTATTTCGCCTTTTTCTCGCTTAGCCTTTTTCGCGGGTGGCTGCATGCTAGAAGCGGTTGGGGTGGGCGGCACCACTGTCGCTGGCGTTGATGGAGGAGCCATTGCAGAAGTGTCGCGTCCCTCCTCTGTAGTCGCCTTGAGCAAAAGATCCATTCTTAGACTCTCGGGTGTCGGATGAAGAACAAGGGTGCATATCTTCGGCTTTGGGGCAGCATTATTGGCCGAGATATCCGCAGGCACGCTCGAGGGCTCATTTTCAGCGTCCTTTTCATCGCTTTCCGCTGTATCTTTGGTGTCTTCTTCTTTCAGCTTTCCATTCGTTTCGTTTGGATTCTGTTCTTCTTTAGGATACGGCACATAGGGGGAAGGCGTGAGCCACTGGTTATAGTTGTGAATAGATGATGGTACGACGGCATTGGAAGCCGACGAAGGTCGCTTGACGTCCTTTGTCTGGGCTACTGCTTTGTGATCGTAGACCTGCACAATGAGGCATCCTTCGTAGAATGGCACATGGTCTTTGTTAAAGTACGGAAGGAGGTCGTGGGGTACTGTGCGATTCCTTATATGCTCAAGAAATATCCGCATGGGTGACTTATACTGAAACATGCCCTCTTGGCCATCGAAGCGGAAATGATTCTGGTGTAAATGGACAACCAAGGACGGGGGTCGCCCGGCAAACTTCTTTAAGATGTAATGATCGGTCACGACTATGCACATGTTAGAGATCTCAGTTACGCTGATATATCGCTGCGCCACGGAAGATGAGTGATGCTGTACCTGCAGGTCGGGGCTCATTATGAGCCGCATCGTCCATGGCAAAAAATACTGATCGCAAGCCTGCGCTGTTTCTCGAACTTCGCCCCGCCGACAGGTTTAGAGTATCGCGACGGACCCGGTGGTTAGGCCGCACAGTCGAGGCAGTGATGGCCCGATCGCTAGCCGAGCTCGGCGCCTTCGCGCTGGGGGGCTTGATATTGGACAAGGATGGAGAGGGCGATGAGGTGGACGATGCGGCTCCGTTTGTCTGGATGCCGGGAGGCACCGGCCGCTTGATCTTGCCTGGGGCGTTGTGCACTGCAGTGGTGGTGGTGGTGGTGACGTTGGACGGCGCCATCGTGACCCCGGATGCACCACGACGGCGCGCGTGGGTTTCAGGGAGAGTCCTGCCGCTTTGCTCCCACCGCGCCTGCTACGAGGATGACCCGGCGTCCAGGGCAAGCGTCTACGCCTGCGTCGCAATTGCAGTCGGAGGTCCAGAGGCGGATAACGTGAATGTTGGAGGCGCGGCGCGAGTTGGGTGGGCTGTGGAGACGATCGCTCAGCGTGGATCGGCTGGTGCAGGAGGCCCGGGGAGGGCGGCGCAAGAGGAGGAGAGTCAGCAGCGATGCATGAGCAAGCGATGAATCGTACGTCGGCAGAAACGAGAGGCGAGAGAGAGTTGGATTTTGCCAGCGACGTTGCCGTTGCGCTCAAAGGACGTTGCGAGATGTGCAGCGACGTTGAACCTGACTGACCAAGCTGGGAGGCTCTACTGTCACGTGACTCCACCTTGCTGTCCTTGCCTGCGAAAGTTTATCTAATACGGCCAAGTCTGCGATAGTTTATGATGGGCCGAATACCTGGGTAAGAACAATTCCACGTCTCCTTGACTACAAAGCAGTTCTGCAAAGTCTTTCAAGCCATGATACGAGCGATGACTTATGGGTCGTTTTCTAAACATTACGGTGGCACTGAAACCACATTATTGTTTGACATGGGTGGCTTTCTCATGGCAACTGACGCTCAGTTGAGATGCATCTCAGCTTTTTCTTAATCTGTTCAAGTACACGCAAATATGCTGTGGCAGTAGAGTGTTCTCGCAAACTTAACAAATCAAGTAAACCGATGTTTATGACTTGACCATATACATCATTATACCAAATGCCACCATGCGTACCTATTATAAGGGTCTTTTGAATTATGATGACTAAGGCAGTAAATGCAGTTGGGGAGAGCCCACGCTAACCTGTAGTAATGCACTCAGAATGGGCATTCTCGTCTTCTCTTTAAGCACAATCTTTAATCAACAGCGCTGTTTTAAAGTATATATTTAAAAAAAATCGCACTGGTAAATAAAGCAAATCAAATAATAGCTAAAGGTATATACAAATCTACACAACCGCATTCCCCGATATATTCCAATTCATTAAATATCCTGATATGTACCTAAGTACCATCAAACAAAACTCGCTCGCCTGCTCTACTCCTTGCCCTGAACTCTACGAGTCCAATCATCATTTACGCGCACGCTATCGACAACGACGATGCCTCGCCCACGGCCGACGCGCTCGGGTCGCTGCCACCATTTCTCGGGCTTGTCAGTAGCTTTTTCAGCTTCAGATTCGCTGTCGGCGAGTCCACCGGATCCGTCTTCGGCGCCGACAACCAAGATGATGTCGTGACGAAGCCATGTCTGAATGTTAGTGATGTAGCTGCCGTTGTCTCCAGAGAGGGATTCCTGGAGATAGATAACGTCAGGCTGCAAGTGGCGAAGGACGTGAGTGTGGCCATTGGGCGTGGTGAACGGAAGGATCATAGTCTCCTTATCAACGAGAGCCAATGCCTCTGAGTAAACGGCGTTGAACAGAGTGTTCTCCGGGGTAGCGCCAAGGCTGATAGCAAACAGTTATTAATACTATCCAATAGACTGGAACGCGGTTTAGACTTACACAGGGCTCTTCGCCTCGGGAGTTTGAGCTTGATCATATCCAACGTTAGAGAATGACGAGCTAACCGAAGGAGGCGGGCGATTACTCGTAGTGGTATCAACCGTGCTATCCTTCAAGCTTGGCGCGTAGATGAGGATAAAGAGCTTGATGGCAGACAGGTCATTGTGGCGAGGAATGTGGTTAAGAATCGACTGCAATGCCGAGTTAGTAGCCAAAACAACACAAGCTGCCATGCAGGTACCCAAGCATCAGGCACTTACAGCATGTTCATGGGCAATGTCGTCGTCGTCGTCTGTGAACTGGGAATCGGCAGAAATGACAATGGCAACCGTCTTGCGCTTCTTGTGGACAGACTGAGGAGGAGCTGGCCCCTTTTCCCTTCGTACTTCTCTCTCTTCGGGCCAGGGGGTCGAATCGTGCTCAGGCTTGTCTTCCTCACGGATCGAGGCCAGCGCCTTGCCAACGGCGGCGCCAGCAGCAGCGACACCAGCAGCAACAGTCTTTCCGGGGTTTGATGTAAACGCGCTGCTCACTCGCGATCCCCATCCGCCTTCTGCAGTCTCAGATCCAGTCGCATAGCTCTGGTCGCGTTGGCGGCCCTGCTCCGGCGGCGGCGCCAATCTGCGCCTCTCTGTCGAAGCACCATATGCCGGGTTCTCTCCATAGTCTGCATTCTCATAGTCCAGGCCGGGATCCGGCTCAGTGGTGTGGTCTTCGGGACTCTCCTTGCGCTGGCTCCAGACCCAGGCGGCGAGACCAGCCGTGGCGACGGTCAGGGTGACCGCAAGAGGCACCCAATGGCTCCAGACGCCTCGCCGCGAGCGGGAGGAGCCCCGATTGTCGTAGGGAGGCGACATTTAGACGGAGGAGCGTAGCATTGCTTGCCGGTGCGATATAGCAGTCTGCCCGGCTGAAGACGGCGGATCGTGATGATGCCCAATCCCTGGTCACAGTCGAGAGCTGCAAGAAGCTGTGCTTTGCATACAGCAACAGACGAAGTGGTTCTTCAACAGCGGCTGAGTGGGGGAGGTTCCTGAGGCCGGCGGCGAGTGTGTCGCAACAAGTCCGGTGGCTGGGGGTTCAGCTGGCTTGGGATGTCAACAATGTGGAGCGGTCCCCGATTCTTCCCAGCAACGCGCCAACGCGGGTCCCGAGGTTGCAATCGCGGCGTGGAGCAATTTAATCCCGCGCCACCGAGGCTGCACGCACGTGAACGCTGTGCTCGGATTGGCGCACAAAGGGGGCTTCACCAGCCACATCTTGAAGCTGCGCCACATTTGAATTCTAAATCTCAGCCTTGTGCTGCTATGACTCTTCAAACTTCAAGGTGGGGGAAAGCTTAAAGATGTTCACAACCCCGGTCAAATCTTAACCAGCTGCCTATCACAAGCAGTTTTCTGATTCTCTCTGGTCCTCTTTGAATACACGACCGCAGGATCCTTGAAAATCGAGCAACGGACTACCTCAGCAACCAGATTCTGCTTTTCTTTTGCGCGGAGGGGCTCTCTGAAACAAGATGCCTCACGCCTTGTCGATGGCCTCAACCGGGCTGCAGGCCCTTATTCTCTGCGGGCCCGGCTCTTCATTCCCTACGTTCACCTCGAATCCGGATGAGAACCCAAAAGCTCTGCTCCCCATTGCCAACCGCCCTATGGTGTGGTATCCCATCGACTTCTGTCTCCGCACTGGCATCACAAGTAGGTGATTTTCATTTTTTTTAGCATCTTTTATTTATTATGCACGTCTCATGTCTCATTCCATCAATACTGAGTGGAACCGTATTGGAGGATTCGCGACTATCATTAGTCGAAATATCCTTACTCGCTCAGATTATTCACTTGTGTCTTTGTATTTGCGGCGGTAGAGAGACATATAGAAAACCACATCTTGATACGCAGGACAATGGCTGACAACTCTTAGACATAACCCTCATCTGCCCTCCATCGGCTGAGAAAGCATTGACAGCCGCTCTCAATACTAACCCCTATCTGACGGCACTGCCGCTGCCACGGCCAGACGTCCTTGCTCCCGCTGACCTTGACCAGAACACTGGTACAGCTGAAATATTGCGGCTGCCGGAGATCAGGGAGCTCGTAACGGGCGATTTTGTTGTTCTACCATGCGATCTCGTTTGCGAGCTTGCTGGCGAACAGCTACTTCAAGCATGGATGGTCAAATCTGCCAGCCTCACGGGCCTCCTAGGGACACGACAGCTTTCAAACGGCCACCAGAGCAGATACAGCGGAGGTCTTGGCGTGTGGTACAACACAAAAGCCAGTGCCCCTGTCAAAGGCGAAGAGACAGACTTCATCTCCACGGCCCCTCTACCCTCTTCCCCGACTGCCACCCCGAAAGGATCCATCTTTCCAAACGTATCAAAACTGGTTTACTCTATGCCCACCGATTCCTTCAATGATCTCACCGAGGAGAGAAAGGCAATTCCAATCCGCCACGGATTGATGAAAGCCAACCCTCGAGTTCGCATGTACACCAACCACAGGGACGCGCACATCTACATCTTCCCTCGATGGGTCTTGGACTTTATCAAAAAGAATGAGCGTTTAGAGAGCATCGGCGAGGATGTGATTGGCTGGTGGGCCAAGGCCGGATGGCAGTCTGGCCTGGCGGACAAGCTCCAGTTCGGCGAGGTGTTGCGCAGTGGTGATGATGACGGCGAGGAAGACGACTCCGTGGGCGGCCGCTCATCTCCCACTGAGTCCCGCCCCGACAACCAGGATAACTCAAAGGAGGCCACTTCAGCAAACACTACTACGAATGACAAGAACGCATCTACGGCGGCGGCATCAGCATTTGAGCCGCCGTCCATCCTTGCCTATATTCACTCACACAAGGAGGGAACAGCAGATTCAATTGTTCGCCGCGTCGATACGGCACAGCTCCTTTTGGCGATTTCTTTACAGCTAGCGAAGCTTCCTTCTCTTGAGGAAGCAGACACTGAACCCCTCTCGCCCTTTGCGCACCCTAGAAAAGTCGCTTACCCTGAGGGTGTGAAGCCTCGCACCACCATCACCAAGCAGGACAGTCTCATCGGCGAAAACGTCACCGTGGAAGAAAAGACTTCCATTAAAGAGACCGTAATTGGTGCCGGCTGTCAAATCAATGAGGGAGCCAAGCTGTCTCAATGTCTTCTCATGGAAGGCGTCGTTGTTGGAAAGGGATGCAAACTCACAAGATGTATTCTTGGTAAGAGATGTATCGTCGGTGCGGGTTCCGTTCTCACAGACTGCGAAGTACAGGAGAATCTCATTGTTGAGCCACGCAGTAAGTATCTTCCATGTTATCCCCATACTAGTTTCATTGCACATGCTAATCCACCATTTACTGCGCAGCTGAGGATAAGGATAACAAGCTCATGAGCTCCGAGGGTCTCGAGGCCACAGAGGCGGAAATGGAAGAGGTCCTCCATGAGATGGACGAAGAGGTAGCCGCAACAGGCGAAGATGTGGATTTGGAATAATGTATCAAAAATTGGCTAGAGATAATAAACAGTGAAATTTGCCTACTTTGATGAATGCTAGCTAATCTGCACGTTGATGAAAGTTATGTCTCATTCTCTTGATCTCTATTACTCTGCAACAAATAAACACACATGATACCCTATTCCGGCAAACTTAGGAACTTGATCGACAGCTGCGATAAAATATGAAGAAAAGTCATAATGATAACTTTACTCATCTTGTTCCATTCTCCTATAGCAGACCCATCCACTTTAACATACAAACAATACAAGCAACGTCGACCTGACCTCATATTACCATCATCGCAAAACATCAACATCTATACCATAACCCCAAATCGAGATTCCCTTCAATAGCAAATAACATTCCGTAGAATAACTCGTGCTGCCTGCCGCCTCTTTCAGACGGTCACTTATCGGTATCACACACTGAGACATGCATACGCCCGATGCTACACTATCCAGCTGTTCTCATAAAAATAATAATCACACCACTCTCAGACATACTAGATCAAATAGATCGCAGCTAAAACAAAGCAAAAGGAACTAATGGCGAAATATGAGTGAATCCTCGCCACGGAGCTTTTTCCGCCGTCATTCCCCCCGCCCCGCCCCCAGGGTGTCTTATTCCCGCTCTCGTCACATTCGCTAATACTGCTAGCAAGTTCTCTCACCCTAAAGCAGCCTATCAGGCCACTTTCAGGTCCATCACCAAACTAGTTCTTCATCTTCTTTTCTTTTTCTTTTCCTTGCTTTATTTGCACTTGCCACCTACTACACACACTCTCTGCGTGGCAATCGAGCTGTAAGGAAACCAGCTGCGCCAGGCCAGGCCGCTCTGGACAAACAATCCACCTCGGGTAGCTTCATTTGTCATTGGAACCCTTCAAATCTCGGCGGATTAGCATGCGCCATATCACCTTGTGACTTGAATCTTTACAAATAGCTTTTTCCCACCCGGGTTACGGCCAAATGGACAAAACTTCAGAGACAGAGAAACCCGCAATGACGTCCGCTCAAGGGATACATACACGCACCTAAGCGAAGACCACCAGATACCATCATCAAGGTCTCGCTGATAAATCCGACCTGAGCTGAAACAATATCTTTGCCCATGTCTCTGCGTAATACGAAGATGACCTGATTTTCTTCCCCCACTTTATAGAGCTCTTCTGCGCATCTCGATCGAAGAAAGGAGGCCAGACATGCAGAGGCTATCGCCAGTGACAGCGCGAACCAGTTTCCTGGTATGCGCCCCCGCGGATTCTTCCCTGGGGCTGATTCCTCCCTCTGCAGACACCTAACAATGCGTCTGCCTCGTGCTAAGAGCCTCCCCCTGAATCAACAAATTACCAGCCAAGCTGGGCATAGAGATATCGCCGACCTCATCCTGCCAGTTGAGCTGCAGTGAGTTGGCCCCCAGCTACCACAACTGAGCATTCGGTTCTTAAACTCTGTCATATATCATATGACCAAGCACTTATAGTTATTTGGATATCACTGGGCGTGTGGTTGGGTCGGTCGTATGTCGTATAGCATTCCGACGGCTATCATCCCAATCTACATAGGGTATGGCATGGACATGCTACGGCCACACCACATCTCTGCTGCCAACACGAGAGAAAACGTACTGGCTATATTCTATATGCAATACCGAGGAGATGGTACTCTGGCCAGATGGTAATTCCAGTACCATGTTGTCGGCTCCCGTTGGTCCCTATTGCCATCGTCCCTGGACCAGATTTTCATTGCACTAGCTCCTCCAAGTGCGCTTTGACCTGTTGTCTTGCACGTCTCGGTGTATCATCTCTGCCATTGAAACTACTAGTGATAGTACGTATCAAGAAGCATGCTCGGCCAACAGCACTCGGCTAGACCCCTAGTAGCGTGGGCCGCTCGATACCGAGCATGGGGTAGCACTGACAGACGGCTACGATCGTAGGGAGACGTCAAAACTTGTGGTGATCGGGACGTGCTTGGACACGTCTAAGCGCAATCGCGCAAATGCTCTGGCCGAGGTAGCTGAATTAGTCCAAGTAGTGCGGCATGATATACATCTGCTCTTGGTACTCGACTATCGCTCCACTCGCTTCACTAGGAAGCGCCTCAGTCACCACCCAACCAGTCGCAAGAGTACGACTGTGCCAATAGGAGAAGATGCCCCCACTTTCTCAGGGCGCGCTGAAGCGGCTGAGACTTTGGGGTTGATTCTGCACGAACGGGCAAATTTAAGCAGATAGTGCCAGCTGAGACTCCGAAAAAAGGGCATTCCAAAAGTATGGCCAGCGAACGAGACAATCCTAGCTTGCCTTTCTTCAAGAATCTGAAACTGAGAGGCTGAGCAGCCCATATAGACGTAGCTATGGCACTGGCGTTGGTACGGCCAATGATCATCAGGGTCCATCAAGGTGGTCATTGCCAGCTACCCGAGAGTGACAGCGAGTACAGCCGTGCGAAGAGGGACGGACCGGACGGATGGCGCATTGGTGCACAACCAGATCCTGGGAATGTGCCTGGGGCAAATCGTGGTGGGTGGGATGGAGTGTAAGTCATGTCGATGGCGAACCAACTCGTTTCATAGCTTGATTATTTCCGCCGCACTGCCCTGAGGGAGATCCCGGAAGTATGAGTGCGTTCCCGAATTCTCAAGGTAATGGGAGCGGGCCGGGCAGACCAGAATGAAGTGCGTAGCTACCAACTCTAATCACACACGCCCGCCAACGAAGCAGCTCTGGCCTCTGATGGCGTGAACATCATCTTGGCGAGGCAGCCGAGAATAATTTTGAGGTAAATTGATATACACCCAGACCTATCGAGAACGCCTATACCCTTGTACTCTGTATATCAGCATAATTCGTCCGGTTTCAGCAGACACCACCCATCGGCCGACACGTTTTCAGCCAACAGACAGCAAGAGACATGCATGCCCAATAGTGTATACACACTAACAACTGAAGGACCACGCAAGCACTGTCCGGCTGTGATGTGATTTGCTCTACTGACAGCCTGTTCTGATTAGCTATATCCGAATCGGTCGATACGCACTAGCTCGATATGATGCATCATATGTAGTATTTCGCTCTGAACATGAGTAGAATCTTGGTTGCCTCGACTGATTCCCTGACCAGCTGAACCAGAGACCAAGATTATCACCATGCAGCATGCAGCATGCCAAGCCTACTTACATGCAGCATGGTCATCGTTTCTAAATCCGGTCTCGCGGAGAGGGAGATGTAGTGACATACCCAAACAGGTAATAAAAGCGAGGAACAAACAAAACAAGAAGACGATGGGACGATGGTCGCCGCCGCAATACGAGGCCTAGCTGGGGGGAAAACATAAAGGAAAGCATAGGAAAAAGAAGGCATTTGGCCGGAACCAGAGCTATCCGAATCTTGAGGCTGAAAGTAAGCTGCAGGGTATGCAGCCACACTTTGAATGCGAAGTGGGAAAAGACAGCTGAATATGGCCTGATTATTGGCATGGGGCTTATCTGAGCATCGTCGAGTCAGTGTCTCTAATTTTGAAATGAGGAGATTTGATTCGGGACCAATATCTCGCGCGGGAGAAGAGATATGGCTGCCGACACCAATAAGATGGCTGCCCACACAGGTCCACGTTCATCTCCCAACCTAGTGTCGATCCATGCGTAAAGCTAGGAATATGACAAGTCGATTATTTAGCTACCCACTCGGCCGAGCTCCGTCGCTGAGATGAGAGCCGGTTTTATAGAGGTGCATGTTACAGCTCATATTCTCTTCTCTCCTTTGTGGTTACTCAAATGGAAACACAACGCACATGAGCCGCCACCTGGAGACGCGTGACTGAATATGTGAATGCGGTCTTGGCTGTCACACTGATGCTGTATGAACTGAGACATGCTTGCGCCCAACGTCACGATGTGATGGCGGCTGTCGACTATCTTTAAATAACAAGAACTGACGGGTTGGTTCACCAGTGATGCCGTGTTACCAGAGCGCATTACCCGACTGTAGCACATAGATCTAATGTTGGGGTTGGGTGTACTAGAAATATCGGACTGTTAAAAGTAGGTAGTACCAAACGATGTGACGTGACACACCCGATGAAGCGTTCCCCATGGTCGGTGCTTGATAGCTAGTTTGTCGTTGGTCGAGCGATGGAGCGGGAATGACGGGAATACGCCTTTCCTTGGCAAGTCACTCATTTTGATATGGATGAAGCCTTGATAGAAATCTGACTTCAATGCCTTGGTGACGCTATGTTGGGGTCATGTAATAGCAGTTTTTTCGGCGCGGAGTATACCGAAATCAACCGCCGCGCAATCAAACAACTTGGCTACAAATGTATCCGCGGAAGATACCCGCATTGGCATTGCTACTACTACTTAGTAGAGCCTAATACTGCTTCAGACCTGGCTCGAATCTGTGCCACTGATATGGCCCGGCGAGCAATGGCTTTTTATTCGACAAAGTTTGATAGAGGAGGCCGTATAAACACAATCTTAGTGTTTGAGCCAGCCTAAAAGCACACGGCACGGCGGACTGCTGTATACGAAAGCTCTAGAGTGGCGCCGCAATTTGACTAGTTTTGAACTTGGTGTGCTCTAAGAAGGGCTGGAGTCGTTATCTGCCATCAATAGCTGTTAACAGCATCCAAGTCGCCGAGAACTCCTACCAAAGCGAAGCCCTCAGTTGCACTCGGCCCCAGATACACTTGCCGCGTATTGACTACTGCGTCTGCTAGGCCTTCTCTAGCTAGAGAAACTCGACAGTTTGATGTTCCTTTATAGTTTACGCTAATCGAGTTGACAAGCGATCAGACGGCGCGATGTAGGAGCGAGCATAGCGGGAGCGTACTAGACACTAGGAAGTAGAGGTAATATTGCGAAGGGAACAGAGATAGCATTTGGCCAGCATCGAGCTACCGTTCAAGGCCCACGCCTCTAGAATCGTTGAACGGCACAATTGCAAGTTTGCTTGCTTGGGGAGAAACCAACATTGATGTCAGTGGGATGAAAC